ATAGCCACCAGTAAGCTTTTTTCGGGACTAGTGACTAACAGGGATCCTTTTAGGCACCTTCTTTTTCGGGGTCCCCTCTTGGAGATGAGTCCCTGACAACTGCCTGACAACCATGGGAGCTATTTCAGCCGAACAGTTGCCATGATATGCCCTGAGCGTCTCAGGCAACCTGAGCTGCCGAGATGCCGCGGCCATGGCAGGCCATGATCCACGGAAACACGCCGAAGCGGATGCGGCAGGTTTTCTGATGGCTCGGTGGCTCCCAGCCATCCCCCTAGCCTTCTAGCTTTTGGGTGTTTGGTGATAGTTTCCATTTAACCCACTAAGAGTTGAAATTTTAGCGGGGGATCTGAGGGCAGCCCAGATGGGTTGGACCCTCCAGATGTCCACTTGAAAATGGGCTCCTTGCCCCAGAATGATGGGGAAGTCACTTCATTGTGAAGGTCTGATTCCTACTTGGACAGATACCCATATTTTTTGCGCACCAGGGGATGAAACGACATGACACCCAGAAGGAAATACATGTTTTCTGTGTGCGGAGGTTGTGCAAGTTGCCATACAAACGCCAGTGTCAGTTTTGAACATAGCAACTGCCTGACTTCCGACTGGTGAAAGCAAGAGTCAGTCACAATTTTAGTGATTCGAGATCTGTTTGATGGCGCCAGTGTAGGAATCTCAATTGAAATCTCCGTTGTCCCAGACTTGTCCATACGATTCGGTGCTCAAATTATGCCAGTCCAAAGTGGTTGCAACACCCCATGAGCAGGCCATTAAGGGTGCGTAGTTGTTCGATCACTCAAGTCCACAACCGGATGCTACACATGGTGACATATGTGTGTTTGCGTGCTTTCAAAGTGTGTTAGTGACATGTTGTAAATGTATGTCATGTTGACATGTAGGTTTGAGATGCTGACATGTGCATAAACATCCACTGAAACCCTTTCATTGTTTGCGCGTTGACAGCCCAGGAATTCTTGGTCAAGTTGCACCTTTCAGTTTTAAGCTGTGCATCCTGATCCGAGCATGCGTTACAGGCATTTGATTTCTTCGTCAAGCTATAGTCAACATCCCGCAATGTTGGAGTGTATAGTCTGCGCTGTTGCAGGCATGCAAAGTCGATTGTATGCTTGGCATCACATGTATGTACAAGATTGACATGTGCAAAAAACAATTATCAAGAAAATGCTGAGCAACACCAAATGGAATATGAGGCCGATGCCGATCCGGTTGCACGCGTCATAGTTGACATTCTAGACTGCCTTGATGTGCATACCGGTCGCTATAGGATCCCGCTGAACTACTTGGGATGGGTGGTGCAAAGGAGTGCTACATAAAGACGAGTAGTGAGTATTGCTCCTCCGTGGCACACCGCTCATTGCATTATGTGGAGTCCAGTCAAATCATGGGATTCAAGGGCCGCTCGATGAAACAAATGTTGTCTAACATCCCAGTCTTTGCAAAAACACGTCCAAGAGGTTCTTCCAACTTGAGTCCTGATTCTAATGGTAACCAGGCTACCCTCCATGTTAGTCTGAGGGAGTGTACTTTTCAACAGGTAAGCCTCCGTGTTCTTCCTGTGGCTCCTGTTCGTAGCATGTGGTTGACCAAAGTAAGGCTCGCAGTTGGTTGCTCATTCAGTTTGCTCAGCGTGCGCAGTCAGTTGACCTGCAAATTCTTGGAGGCGGGTTCAGCATGTACATAGTGTGTAATATTATACGTATTGTTTATGTATATATATATATGTATGTATGTATGTAATGTAATGTAATGTAATGTAATGTAATGTAATGTAATGTAATGTAATGTAATGTATGTATGTATGTATGTATGTATGTATGTATGTATGTATGTATGTATCTATGTATGTATGTATGTATGTATGTATGTAATGTAATGTATGTATGTATTGTATGTATGTAATGTAATGTATGTATGTATGTATGTATGTATGTATGTATGTATGTATGTATGTATGTATGTATGTATGTATGTATGTATGTATGTATGTATGTATGTATGTATGTATGTATGTATGTATGTATGTATGTATGTATGTATGTATGTAATGTATGTATGTATGTATGTATGTATGTATGTATGTATGTATGTATGTATGTATGTATGTATGTATGTATGTATGTATGTATGTATGTATGTATGTAATGTATGTATGTATGTATGTATGTATGTATGTATGTATGTATGTATGTATGTATGTATGTATGTATGTATGTATGTTGTATGTAATGTATGTATGTATGTATGTATGTATGTATGTATGTATGTATGTATGTATGTATGTATGTATGTATGTATGTATGTATGTATGTATGTATGTATGTATGTATGTATGTATGTATGTATGTATGTATGTATGTATGTATGTATGTATGTATGTATGTATGTATGTATGTATGTATGTATGTATGTATGTATGTATGTATGTATGTATGTATGTATGTATGTATGTATGTATGTATGTATGTATGTATGTATGTATGTATGTATGTATGTATGTATGTATGTATGTATGTATGTATGTATGTATGTATGTATGTATGTATGTATGTATGTATGTATGTATGTATGTATGTATGTATGTATGTAATGTAATGTATGTATGTATGTATGTATGTATGTATGTATGTAATGTATGTATGTATGTATGTATGTATGTATGTATGTATGTATGTATGTATGTATGTATGTATGTATGTATGTATGTATGTATGTATGTATGTATGTATGTATGTATGTATGTATGTATGTATGTATGTATGTATGTATGTATGTATGTATGTATGTATGTATGTATGTATGTATGTATGTATGTATGTATGTATGTATGTATGTATGTATGTAATGTATGTAATGTATGTAATGTATGTATGTATGTATGTATGTATGTATGTATGTATGTATGTATGTATGTATGTATGTATGTATGTATGTATGTATGTATGTATGTATATGTATGTATGTATGTATGTATGTATGTATGTATGTATGTATGTATGTATGTATGTATGTATGTAATGTATGTATGTATGTATGTATGTATGTATGTATGTATGTATGTATGTATGTGTAATGTATGTATGTAATGTATGTATGTATTGTGAGAGGCGTTAATCCTAACCAAGGACTAACCCAGAATCCACGTCTCACCCGTGTCCCGACTCTCTGGCACACCCGCGAAGCGGCTCGTTGTTTTCACAGGCAGCGCACTCATTCACCGTGCGCATGTGGCTTGAGCCAAAATAGGCACGCCACTCCAACTTCCTCAAGGTGGACATGTCAACTTGCAAGACATGTCCACTCATGCAACCTCAAGCAAAAATAGCTCACTTACCAAAGCCTAATGCCTATGGCTGCAATGACAAAATCATGCATGAGAATGCCAAGATCTGCAGTCGCCCCCAGTTGCAGCCTCCAGCCGCGGCGGGGAATGCAACTCCAGAGCATTCTCATCCTTAATTGTGGGAACAGCCCCATCCTTCAAATTGCGGGGGCTCCCTATCCTATTCCACTGGGCAGTGGCCAATTCCTTATACCCTTCATCCGGCCCTGGACCTGGGCTCAGTACTGCTTCGGCTCGGCTCATCCGATCTTTCCAGCCTGGAAAGTTGCAGTCGCAGCTTCTCATTCTCAGTCTCCAGCGCCTTGTCTAGCAAGTGAACCAGCTTGCCGCTCCCATCGACGGCTAGCTTAATCCAGCTCACAAACTTCTCATTCTGCTTCTGGCTGAAGAAGACCTGATTCTGCATGGTGCCCAGCAAGGCCAAATAGTTACTGAAGAAGGCAGAATCCGAGTTGTCATACTTCTCCGCGTTGTATGCAGTGTGAATCTTATCCACGGTCTGGAAGACCTTGAGCGCCAAAGCGCCATCCACAGCGCCTCGCCCGGAAAGATTGAACACAGCCGCGTTAAGCCTGGAAAGGTGGTCAGATCGCAACGATCCCGGGGGGTTCGATTCCTTACGAATGTCGTTGAGCACCTGTTGCAAATACAACACGGCTCCCTCCGAAGTTGCCAACGGACTCGAGAAATCGTCCCTGACCAAACCTGAACTCTGCCCGCGAGCGTCATCCCGCTCCGCACTGGCCACTCTCGGTTGCTTATTCCTACTCCCGGTACCCAGCTCCTTAGCCTTACTCACTAGGCCTTGAAGACAACCGACTTCGACATATTCACTCCTAGATGGAGCCGAACGCGACCTTAGCGAAAATCCCGGACTGGTCACTTCATCAAGAATGGGGACCGCCTGGAGGGTTTCTCCGGCGCCCCCAGCCCGATCCTCGCCTATCGTCGACGCTGCCTGGCCACGATAATGTGCTGGCATTCCGTACCCAGGTCAATGAACGCTTTGCAGGTACACTTCATAACATTCCGTCCCAAGACCAACTCCTCTGTCACAAAGACGTGACCCGTCCTTGTCATGAATTTCTTGGTCCTCTGGCCTTCCCCAAGCATATTGCCGTGAAGTCGGTGCATGGCTTTGTTCCTACACTTGCGGGATACTGTCCAACCACACCACGTCATGAAAACAACAAACATGCTCATCAAGGTAGCCCGCAGGAACAGCCCCATAGTCTCCACAAGAGCAACTCCCTGCGAACCCATTTTGTTTTGTCGACTAAGAGGACCGTGTTGACCGAAACACTCCCCATGACATCTTCCACAACATTGTCAATCTGGACCACACCTTTGTAACCAAGAGGGATGAGGGCAAGCATGGTTCCCCAATAAACGAGGTTCAATTGGTTGCCATGCTCAGCATGGGCCTTCTTGTTCCGGCCTTTCCGGCTCGAGAAACCAGGCCTCCGCACTTTCTTTCTGCTGCGCTTCTTGCGGTCGCCTTTGCCAGGATGCCGTCGCCCGCCCCTCTTTTTGGGCTTGCGACTGAACTGGCGAAATGCATCCTCATCCTCTGTCACGACATCATCCGAGCTGTCCTGCTCGCATGTGCCCTCTCGAGCACGGCTGCACTTATAGCACGTCAGCCGTGCTTTGACGTTCCTTCCGCCACATTGGCGGCAGTCCCAACCGCGGCCTGCAGCAAGCTCTTCCAAAGCTTCGGCCCGCGCGGACTCTCGATGCCGCCTCTCGGTGCTCCGAACATGTTCACCTGCTGGTCCTCGGCCGCTCGCGCCGGCCGACTCAGGATGTGGCCGAATGTCATCATCTTCGTCCTCATCGGAGCGCCGCATGACACTCACTCTCTTCGTATTGCGGGACCAAGGAAATTGACCCGGCACTGGAGCCGGCCTGGACTCTCCCGGACCGAAAACTCCTCCCGGTCTCCTCCATGGCGGAGTGGCCTTCGGTTTCACCACAGCTCTCACCGGTTCCACTGGCCCGGACCGACTCCTTGATCGGCTCCTGCTCTTCAGCCTCAACGGCTGGCCGCCACCACCACCTCGATCGTCGGGATAAAAACTGTCATCATCTCCTCCAGATTCCCCCTCTCCCGACTCCTCGATCTCAACGGACTCCTCGTCGTCGAGAGACACATATCCGGTCGGCGGTTCCGCCGGTGCCGGCAACGGCGGCGGAGCAATTTCATCATCTTCTTCCGGAACCGCGGCAGAGCCTCTGGATGATTCCCGCTCCGCGCGTTCCTTAGCTGCACGTTCCCGTTGCTCCAAATAATAAGGATGATATTGGTGATCCGCCAACAGGAATCTGTACTTGTTCTGGTCGTGCTCTCTCAGAGTTCGCTCTTCGAACCCCGGACCAACGGCAGCAGCCAAAAGCGCCGTCTTGTCGATCAGCCCCTTCCAGTCCGCGGGCGGATCTGTCCCGCGACCAGAGGCAGTTGCCGTGGCCGTACTGGCAGGCGGAGCAATTGGCCTCACCTCAATTGCTCCCGCCTTCTTCGCGGGCGGAGCTTCTGATGCTCCCGCCTTCGCGGATCTCGCAGGCGGAGCTCTAGGGGCTCCCGCCCGCTCACGGACTTGTTCCGCCCGGAACTCAGCCACGGTCGGGGAAATGGCAGGCACATCATAGACTGCTCCAGCAGCAGTCCCCTTTGAGCTCTAGCCGCCGGAGCCTTCCCCTGATACCGGGCAGAGTAAGCAGCAAGCGCACTGAGGTACTGCTTAACTCCAGGCCCCGTCAACCCACCCTGGCTGCTTTGCGAGAAGCTACGGTTCAGAGGCCCTAACCTCTGGATGGATTCCTGCCTATCCGGCCGCACAATCAGGCCGCGATCGGCACTCCCAAAAAGAAGATCTCCTTGGCGCCCTCCCGTAAGTACGCTCCACGCACTAAGCTGGCCAGGATCCACTGCTTGATCTGTAAGGTAAACTCCTTCTGCTCCGCAGTACAAAGTGATACCGCTCCGAAGGATCGCCTCCAAAGATGCAACCAGCACAACGTCCGCACTCCTCCGCATGAGATTCAACGGGTACAAGAAAGCACCTCGCGTGGTCAGGGCAAAATGCGTCGTCTGACGATCCGTAGTGCCTCCACCAGGCAACAAACCACCGCTCCGGATACTCTCAACGTGTCGCCCGAAAGTCCCGTGCGCGAGCATCAAGTCCGGCACGTTGTTGGGCCCGTACGTTTCAGTGAAATGCTCGTGATCTGCTCGAGGATATAGTTCCTGAACTGAAACTCCGGTGGCACTGCTATGGCCCTGCAGCGCTTTGACGCAGGTGGTCCCCCCGAGGTCCGCGGTTACGAACCTCGTCTTGCCGGGACTCCCCTCAGGGCCAGCAGCAGCCAAAATTCGGCTTCTGAGCACCCGTACGTGGTCGCGAGCCACGACACCGGGAGCCAGCCTCCTTCGCCCACTGGCGCGTGCCGCAGGGCTTTGACCATGCGCCGGGACAAAGCCCGGACATCCACCATGGCTGACACAGTCACACAAATGCTCCACTCGACAAAAGCACTGCCTCCAAAGCCCGAATGGCCTAAATTGCATGCTCCACTGCTAATCAAGCAACTCCTATCATGTGCAAGCAGGTTGATTCGAGCCATATGGAGTGCATAAGCGGCATGAATCCATGGGACCAAGCTCATCCGGGTAGGATGATTGTGATCTGAAACCACTGGATCATGCTTGCCTTTCTCCCCAGTCTCTGGTTTGGACTGGAGTTCGTCCCCAAGACCTCTTTTCGAGAAACCCAAAGCCTCCAAAGCTTCCCCGGGTTTCTGGGCTACCTGAACCCCTGCTTTCTTTGCAGCTGCACGGATCTCCTCATCATACTCAACATCAGTGAGAATCCTTTGATCAAGGCATTTCCCGGTACGAACCGTAAGGTCATCCACGTAGGCCAACCACTGTTTGCCATACCTCAGGGTCCGGTTCCTTCCAGGGGCAAACGCCCGATCTACTGTGTAGCAGAAGTCATCGGGTCCATTGGTGGGTCCAAAGGTCAAACACAAAGGCAAGAACTTCCCGCTTCTGGATACTATGGCGAGCACTTCCATGGCTCTCCTAGTGTTCGCAACTTGGTTGAACCCTGTCACCGCATCAACGAAGGAAAACCAAGCCGAACCAGCAGCGCAAGCCAACACGTCACTTGCTTGCCTGCAATAGTAGGTTGACCTCTTCACACGGGCATTTACTCTACGGTAGTCAACAACCAGTCTCCTTTTCCGCTGTTTCTTGTGCTCAGGGGCCTCTTTGGTCGGAAATGGTGCGGAGCCCCAAGGGGATGAGCCTCGAACCAACTGCCCTCTAGCAACTTCACTCTCGAGCTGTTCATCAACCCAAGCAGCGGCTTCACCCCTCAACGCGTGAGGTTGACTAGAGACCGGAGCTCCAGTAGGGATGCAATCGTGCGAAATTTTCGGATGGTCGTTTGCGGGGTCCCTTCTACCCAGAAGGCAGCAGCTTTCCTACTGACTACGTCCTTACAGGCCTCAAGGTCATCCTTTGACAAGTAGGGTCTCTTAGCTCTTGCCGAAGTGAAGCCCTTCTACTACCTGTTCCCTGTATTCAGGGGTCCTCCTGGGGTCCTCAGTCACCTTTGAACCACTGAGTCGGTACACAGAAAGGTCGGACTTCACGGAATCCCATTCCCCTTTAGCAAGACCGTCCCAATGGATCCTCATTTCCTCGGAGAACTTCAAAAGTTCAGCCTCGAGTCGTTCCCTTTCCGCAGCCGTAACCGATTCCCACAAGAACATCGGCCTCGGGAGAGGCAGCGGCCGCGTTGGCATGCAACCGCGGCTCCGCGCCCTCTTCCGAGCCGGCACTCCTAGGATGGACGGCGAAGACGGACGATCCGACAGGCATAGAACAACCGAATTGCTGTGGCTCCTTCAGCCACTCCGAAAGGGGTCCATCCCCGTGACACTTCTTGACTTCAAGTTGCTTGGAAGTGGGACCAAGGGACACCCAGTAGGATTCACACAACTCTTCGGGGTAGATCCCACTCAACTTACCTGCACCTGCCCACTTCGGCCCCAGTCCGGGCTCATTGTCTTCCCTTATCTTCATCGAGCCTCGGATTTGCCGGTGTTGGTGCAAAGTCCTCAAAAGCGCGTCCGGCTTCCTACACCTCAGAGAGAACCCAGACAGGTCGGAGTTGCTGACCCATATCTGCCCTTTCTCAACGGGGTTTCCAAACGATCCGTCACTCCCGTCCAACGAGGTCATGTTGTACTGACAGGAGTCGGTCCGAACCATGGCCCAAGGCCTCCTAGGTTCAACGAGGGTCCCGAATCTCTTGACGAAAAGTTCAAGGGAAAACAGCAAACTCCCGACAGGGTTCTCAAGGGTTCCGATGCCGTTCGCTTTCTCCTGGTGGCTAAGCAGGTCACATGAAAACTCTGCTAGAGCCAAATCCTCACTCGAGGGGGTCTGCTCGCCCAATCGGCTCAGCTTTTCACACGGCGCCCCCACATGGAGGACTTTCGGTTTCATCACCTTGCTGATCAACCAAGCAAGGAGCGCCCGGTCCGAGTTCCTTCGCAGATCCCAATCCCGACCGTAGCTTCTATACAGCCGGTCAACGGGTTCTCCAACCAACAGACCACTAGCGGCCTTAGTGAGCCCACCGTGTCCGGCGAAAACCTCCAAGAAGTCAACTCCGTGCTGGGGCACACCTTCATTCCGAAGGTATTCGAGGACAGCTTTCTGTTCTCTCGCGAAGCCATCCGAAGGCCCAGCGGCGAACACTCCCACGCCACTTTCTGTTTTCCCGCCCTTGAGGATCCCGACCAGGTCGTCCAGGGGCTCAGAGTACTCATGCTCCCCTCGCCTTTCCGGCCCTCTGGGCCGGAGGCCGCTCTTCGAGGCGGTACCCTCCTTTGTCAAGCTTCCTGGCAGATGAAGCTTGCAGGATTCCATCCCTGCTCAGCTCAACCTTCGTGATGAGCAAGCTCATCTTCACTTCCTCTACGCAAGGACGTCCTCCTTCCGGGGCCAGAGATTCTTGCCCTTGCTGGTCCAAGTACAGAAGGCACCACTTCACATGCAGTCCGCCGATCTCCGGCGCATACTTGTGAACGTGCACTACTCCTTCCGAGACCGCAACTGACGTGACCCGTCCAATTGCGCAAAGCTTCGGACCGTATCCTTTTCTGAACGCAATCATGTCTCCAATCTTCAGGACGTACTGCTTACCTCTTCTTTTCATCGTGAACTCGACCTGCTTAGTTTCCCCTTTGATCATCTGACCTAAGCTGGGTCTCGAATCATCTGGATCCGAATCAAATTGGATCTCATCTCTGGCGTCGGCACACACATCGTCCGGGATCAAGACGCAATCTTCGGCATGAGCTGCGAGAGGTTGGGCGCCGTCGGGTCCGGCCAACTGTAATCTGTTCCCTTTGCACGAAATGACTTCCCAAGGGCCGGTTAGACCCTTTTTCCACGGCACTCCCCCTTTCGCCCCCGGGTCTGACAGGCCCGGAGCACGCCATACCACACGATCCCCGACTTTGAGGTCCACCTCGCGACGGTATCGGTTCGCGAGCCTTACACGGGCCTCGCTCGCGCTCGTGAGATGGTCTTTCACGACCTTGCTCACAGCCTTATATTGGCCAAAAATCTTCCGGCTCAAATTCTAAAGTGCTCTTGAGTAGGTCCTTTTCCAGAGGCACACCCAGGGACCACGCTCTGTCCAGGTCTCTGGGCATATAGCCATGAGGACCCGGGGTCGTGTCGATGCAGTACTCCACAACTACGAGAAGGTCGCCCCAATGGTCGGTGTGCCCCCTCGCCACATCTTTGACAACGCTCGCACCGATGAGGGCGCAATATTCAGCGAACATCGCGGACCTACCAAGGTCGGTAGCGTCCTGCTACGCAAGACACACCTGGCGAAGGCGCGCCTAACTTCAGCGTGGTTGAGGGCACGGAGTGGCTCCAAGTAAACCGCGTGCGAGAGACAATCCATGTACGTCAAGGAATACCGATTCCCTGCGTAATCCTCTTTGTTGGGACCCTCGCAATCGACAGACACCTCTTGCCAGCAATAGTCAGCCGCCGGTTTCATCGGCTTCGTGGTGATTTTAATCGCCCTCGACCTCGCCTTAAAGCACGTCAGGCACTTTCTTACCTAGGAGTTGATATCTTCTTTCATCGTGGCCCACCAGACCACACGTTTCATGAGAGCATATGTCTTCTCAGCCGACCGATGCGCGCCGAACACTCCACAATGGAACTGGAGGTAGCACGTCTTCCGCCAAGTAACTCCAGAGCTAGCAGCGACTCCATTCGGCACTATTGGCACCGTGGACATTGCACCGCCTGGCAGACTGACTTCCTTCTCAAGCATCCCGTCTGCAGCCCTCTTGTATCCTTCCGGAGTCTTCCGGAGTGACTCCGCGAGTGAGGGGTCCTTGGATTGAGCCTCAACCCAAGACGCTCGCAGGCAGCCTGTCACTTCAAAGTTCGACATCCCCGCCGCGGCCTTTGCTTCTTCAGCAAGGCGACTCCTATCTTCAAAGCTGTAGATATGCCCGACAGGGTGTGCGTAATCAACCACCACCCACCTTTTGGAGAAGTAGGCAAGCACGCCCCGCGGGCCTTCGCTCGGCTTCACGACGAAGACCATCGTCGGCCTACATCTGCTCTCCTCCCCTCGGATCTTCTTGCCCAGTTCAAACGGATCCCAGTGATTCCCGGGGCTTCTGAGCTGAAACCCGACTAGGACATTGCCGCGTCCTTTGCTAACCAAATCCCGCCTGTGTCCGACCGACGTTTGCCCGTCGCCGTCGTTCCATGCCACGACCTCGACGGGAACTCCGATCAGTCCGATCAGGCAGTTGAATCTGGCACTCATCTCCTTGCTTCCGGTTTTCCATACCGAATCGCACTGAGCGTTCACCACACTCCTGTGACAGTGCCAATTCAGCCCCTGGAGGGCCCATTCAGGTTCAGAGCTCTCCACAGAACCGACCTTGCAACAGTTTTGCACCGTCAATACAGTCCCGTCCGGCTCAACGGCCCAGACAGTCCGGTACGGATACTTTTCGACCTGGTCACCGGACAGCTGAGGGATTTCCGGCGAATGCCCCTTGTCCCAGCGTCCTTTCATCAGAATTCCGCCCTTGCCTGGCATCTTGACGGTCCACTTGGCGCCCCCAGATCCAGATTTCGGCAGGCTGCCGCCTCCCCAAAGTGGATTGTCTTAATCCCGACGACCTCGGTAGTCCCGTCCGGTTCGCACATATTGGATGCCGCTCCGACTTCTTCTATCAGCGCAGCTCCGTCCAGTTCCTCAAGATCTCCTCGTTCTTCGCGTTCTTTCCTTTCCTGCGCTTCGACTACAGCATCTTGCGCCTCACGTCGGATGCACGTCGGGCACCGGCTGAAAACGTAGGTACGCTTTCCGCAGGCACAGAGCCCGTCGTGCTCCCACATCTCTCTATCCTTCTCCCTGGCCAGACCAGCC